CGCATAAATTGTGACAATCCAAATGCAATTGCAAATCCTTAATTTTCGCTTTTGCGAACGCACAGTGACTGCCAAATTTCAAATGAAAAAGCAAAGTCCATTTGCAACTGTATTTCCCATGTCTTAGGAGTTATGAGCCTGTCATATTTAAATAGCAATATTAATTACCACGTCTGCTTTTCGGAAATTCAAATGCAAAAGGAATTGCGATTCCATTTGAGTTCTTTTGCATTTGAATTTCCGATGTCTACATGGAAAGCTGCCAATCAATGTGAGGGGGCGGGACTATACTGGGGGCGTGTTTGTATTGGGAGGTGACGTCACTCACAGACGACCGTGCCGAATGCTCTGATCAATGGAGGTAATCGGTAAAGGCTCCGCTAAAGGCAGCCACCAATCAGTTTCGTACCTGTGTGAACGAACAGACAGTGCAACCTTCTTGGCACAATACATAATTCTGTCTTTTTTTTTTACCCCAAATGTAGCGATTATCCCCTGCTAACAGCGGGAGCCACAATGGTATGCACAATAGGTCAATATTCACTATTAACCAAACGTTTTTCACCTGTCTCAGCATCGCTCACTGTTTACACTCATTTACACTTTTAATCCGTAATAGAGAGCATGTCACACCTGCCTCAAGACCTTTTACCGTTTGCACTCCACTTGATGCACTTAAGCAAACAGACCGGAAATTAGTCCGGAATATCCTTCCATAGTAATACAAAGGCAGATCCTATGGGTTGAAATGTATGTCACGTGATGTTCTTACCTGTCCGCTTCTTCCTGACCTCGTAACATATAATAATGCAACGTGTGCTTAAATATGTTACATTAAGGGGGGAGTGGGAACAAATATAAAACGAAGGCAAACGTACACGTAGGGCAAGCAACACAAATAAAAGGGGATACAAGAATTAAACAGGATGGCAACAAAAATGACGAGCACAAAACAGCAACAACATGGGGGGGGGGCTCTTTTATCTGGGAGGGTCTTGTCTGATTGGGAACGGCAGGATGGATCCCGTCAGCGCTAATGAAGATTGACAGGTGACAGGACCAATGACTGGTAACTAAGAAAGTGAAAGTAAACGAGAAGCAAAGACAGAGAGAAGCACACGACAAAGCACGAACATAAAATTGTTTGTTAAATCCTAAAACCAAAACTACAGCACAAACCAGAGTTCAACTAGGCACATCTAGAAAGGGCATCTGCTACTACATTTTCTGCTCCTTTCTTGTGGCAAATTTCCCAAATGAGGCACTGATTCTGATTGTACCTGCGAGAGAGGAATACTAACGGATTATGATCCGTATAAATAGTAACGGGAAGAGAACTAGAACCAATGTACACTTCAAAATATTGTAGTGCCAACATCAATGCAAGATTGATCAATGCCTTTTTCAGTGGTTGAATAGTTGAGTTGATGTTTATTAAATTTCCTAGGAAAATAACAGACATGGTGTTCAACCCCATTTCGGTCCTCTTGGAGGACTACGGCACTCGCATCAACCTCCAGTTTAAAGGGGAATGCAATGTCTGGAGCCGCGAGGACTGGGGCACAGCAGAACAAAGCTTTAATATTTCCAAATGCCTACTGACACTCAGCTGACCAAACGAACTGCTGGGATGGCCTAAGTAAATTTGTGAGGGGACAAACCACACTGAAAACATTGTGACAAAAACTGCGATAGTATCCAGTCATGCCTAAAAATCGGTGCAACTTGCATCTGGTGTTGGGAACAGGAAAGTCAGTTATGGCGGAAACCTTGGCCGCAAAGGGACGAACTTGACCTTGGTCAACTTCTTTACCGAGCAAATTCACATTTGGCCAGATTTAGAGTTAATGTAGCTTTGGCAAGCCGTTCAAACACGGTGTGCAAACAAGAAATGTGTTCTGACCACTCAGATGAGTACACTACTAAGTCATCCAGATATGTGTTACACTTTGGGACACTGGCCAACACTGTATTAACCAACCTCTGAAAAGTAGCAGACGCGTTGCGCAGCCCGAAGGCCTTAACCTTATATTGAATCAAGTGATCAGCAGTGTTGGGCAAGTTACTCTGAAAATGTAATCAAATTACTGATTACTGATTACTACTTTTAAAAGTAATCACGTTACTGTTCTGATGACTTTATTTCAAAAGTAATTAGTAATTAGTTACATTACTAGTTATGTTACTTTTTTCTCCATGCAATTTATGAAATTCCAGCATACGCACTCCCGATAAATATTTGTTATTAAAGCATGAACATTCACAGAACACTGTTATTTTTAACTAAACCAAGCGGCTGCTTCGTGCATGGTTTGGCATGGCAGAATGCCAGCAAAGAGTGCTGCATTTATAATCTCTAAAAGACATCTCAGGTCATCACAATCTCACAAAAATCTGTTATAATTATAACACAATAAATATATGCATAATGAATCTTTCATAATGTCTACATTTCGTGTGTTATAATGAGAGGATTCGTGAACACACAAATTTCCACACTGCATTGCTCAACGCTACAAACACGTGTTATAGCCTAAATAGAAACTCTGCATACGCTTGCACCTGTTAATCGTTTATATTTTATAGTTCATGTAGCTTTTGTGCAATAGTTGAATAACAATTTATTTGTTTTAGATAAATGAGAGGATTCGTGAACACACAAATTTCCACACTGCATTGCTCAACGCTACAAACACGTGTTATAGCCTAAATAGAAACTCTGCATACGCTTGCACCTGTTAATCGTTTATATTTTATTTTAATCGTTTAGCTTTTGTGCAATAGTTGAATAACAATTTATTTGTTTTAGATATTTTATGTTTAGATATTTCTATTTTGCGGGAGTCCCGTGAATATTTTTTTTTCTCCCGCATCCCGCGCACACACACGAGTCTCTGCACTCGCCTATCAAGTCTTGTCCCGCGCCGCACTCTGTTGCGTGGGGTCTCACGGGAGAGCAGGTCTCTAATCCACTGGCATTTGACTCGACAATACGTGTGCTACATCCTTTTTACAATCTCCAGATTATAAAACACTGCATTCTGTCAGCAATGTAACGCGGCAGTAACGTATAGAGATCTCGGCTTGTAACTATACTCTAATTACTATTTTGAAAATTATAATGCGTTAAATTACTCCGTTATTAAAAAAAGTAATCAAATTACAGTAATGCGTTACTAAGTAATGCGTTACTGCCCAACACTGGTGATCAGGTGTTATGAAGGCAGAAATATCTGAAGCTTGAGGTGGTTAATGGTACCTGCCAGTAACCTTTCAGTAAATCCAATTTAGTGACAAAGCAGGCGGACCCGAGGTTGTCAATGCAATCCTCCATATGAGGAAGAGGGAAGCAATCAGGTACTGTCACAGCAGTAACCTTTCGATAATCCATGCAAAAACTAAATGTTCCATCTGGTTTGGGTACAAGAACACACGGTGAACTCCACGGACTACTACTAGGAATGGCTAGACCCTTTTCTGCTAAATATTCAACTTCTTCCCTCATGATGGCTCCCTTATTTGGATTCACACTATAGGCATGTTGTTTGAAAGGGGGAGAGTTATTAACATTTATATCATGTTGTAATACTGAAGTCTGTGTAGGGGTGTCATTGAAGAGAGTGGGGAAAACTTTAAATTAACTGGATAACGTCCTGTAGTTACGATTCTGATAAATGAGAGAGATATGAAGGCAATTCCTTCAACGTTTATGAATTGCTTAGCCTGGCACACTGTCGAGGGGCATTGTGCAACACAAGACCGTCCTCATCAGCAGCAGATACCCAAGCAGAAGATGTATCCTCGCGAACTACTACAACAGAATGTCACAGTGTCTAGTTGGTGTGCCCATGTATAGCCACCAGAGGGCACACTTCTTAGTTTTGTTTGTTTCTCTGGACTGCAGTTCCCATCACCCTTTGCTTTGACTATCAAGCCTCATTACATTCAGCTGTGTCCCATTTACCTTGTTAACTCGTCCATATAAGCCTGGTTTTCTTTGTCTTTGGTTGCTGGTTTATTGTTTACTGTTACGTTTTTTCTGTTGCTCTGTTTTTCCCTGATGTGGATCATGTTTGTTTTTGGACTCGTCAATAAATGCTGCATTTGGATCTTCTTGTTTTGGAGCATTCTGTGACATAATAAACCAGCCATCAACAGATCCAGCAGCTAGGCTGGGCTTATTGGATTGTGGACCATGGGCATTCGTGTTCTTCCTCCTGCTTCGAAGAAGGAGTGAAAGGCTTGGCTCCGGATGATGGTGGATCTTCGCCAGCAGGGGATGGAAGTAGGAGGTTTTGCTCAGACCTTGTGGACTCTGGCGGTAGGACTGGAACTTTGTGAGTCTGAGCTCAGAAAGATTTTTAATGATTGCTTGGACAACCCCTTGCCTCCTCGGGAGATGGAGGGGCTTAAGGCTTTCGACTTTTGGAGTTACATTGATTATCTCTGTTACCGCAATTTAGTAATGTCATGTCGGTCTGAGTCCATTGCATTGCCCCTGGAGATGTCCGAGCCCGCTCCAGTGGATAGCGAATCTTCAGTGTCTCAGTCTCGCAAGCGAAGGTCGAGAAGGAGGAGGGCAGCAAGGTCCACTCCAGTTCTCCCGGAGCCCGCTCCAGTCCTTGAATCTGCACCAGAACCTGCTCCAGTCTATGAGTCTGACCCAAGTCCTTGGTCCTGGAGGACCCGATTCCAGTGGTCCTGAGTCCGGTGGTCCTGGAGGACCCGACTCCGGTGGTCTCTAGTCTGGTGGTCTTAGAGGTCGCCACAGAACAGCCCAATTTCACTGCTGCTGCCATAATCAAGAAGGCCGTCTTTGCCTTTGGTCTCTGGGCTGTTCTGCGTGCATGGGAGCCTTCAGAGTCCACTCCAGAGCCCGCTCCAGTCCATGGGTTCACTCCAGAGCCCACTCAAGTGTATGAGTTCACTCTGGAACCCACTCAAGTGTATGAGTTCACTCTAGAGCCCACTCAAGTCTACAAATTCATTCCAGATTCTGTTTTAGTCTACGAATCCACTCTAGAGCTGACTCAAGTTTATGAGTTCACTCCTGAGCTCGTTCCAGTCCAAGAGTCCACTACTGAGTCTGTTCTAGTTCCTCTCGAGGTGTTGGTTTCTGCTGTGGAGCCTCTGGAGGCGGCGGCAGCCGCTTCAGCTCCCCTCTGGGCGGTGGTGTCCACTCCTGAACTCTGTCTGCCTTGTCATGGCCAAGGAGACTGTTGTTGAACTGTCTGCCTGCCCTGTTTCGGTCAAGGAGACCATTGCTGAACTGTCTGCCTGTCCTGTTACAGCCATCAAGGCTGTTACTAACCTTTCTGTGCTCTTCTTTGCAGTCCTGCCTGAGCTGCTAGGGGGTTCATTGGCCTTGTCAGCTCCGCTGAGGTGGTCGTCAGCTCCGCCTTTGCTGTCTGCCAAGCTCCTGGCTCTGCCCTGGTCGCCTGCCAGGGTTGTTGTTCGGCCGGACAAAGGCCTTCTGCTCTGCGGGCCCCGCCCTGGCCTCCTGCTCTGCCGGCCCCGCCTTGGCCTCCTGCTGGTATCCGCTCCTTAGAGGAGGGGTAATGTCACAGCGTCTAGTTGGTGTGCCCATGTATAGCCACTAGAGGACACGCTTAGATTTGTTTGTTTCTCTGGACTTCAGTTCCCATCACCCTTTGCCTTGACTATCAAGCCTCATTACATTCAGCTGTGTTCCATTTACCTTATTAACACATCCATATAAGCCTGGTTTTATTTCTCTTTGGTTGCTGGTTTATTGTTTACTGTTACGTGTTTTCTGTTGCTCTGTTTTTTGCCCTGATGTGGCATGATGTTTGTTTCTGGACTCTTCAATAAATTCTGCATTTGGAACATTCTTCTTGTTTTGGAGCATTCCTTGACACAGAAGAAACAACAGGTGCGGATGTTTTCTCAGTAGTTTTTCCTCGTGGACTCTCGTTTTCTTTCAGGAGAACAAATTACATAAGCCGTTTCCACCACAGGAACTTTCCCCAGGAACTGGGGACTTTGGGCCGGTACTTGGTGTGTTTCCACCGCAGAAACCAGGATCTAAATAAAGTACGGGGTCCGGAACTTTCGGGGGCGGGACTTGGGCCCGTTTCCCGACGAGAGCAGCCTCAACTTGGCTAGTCCGTCTGACATTTGCCGCTCGCTCTGATGTCTCTGTAGTGGTTAAACATAAGATATAATTCGTTTTGGGTAAATCTAACAGGTAATATTTCGTCTTTATTCTGTTAATCTATTAATATGTTAAAATGAGAATGAAAAGAGGCAATACAGTTTGATATAATATTTAGTTTCATTGTAATGTAGCCTAAGTTCCCTGAACTACATTTCTGCGGCTATTAATAGGTTTAAATGAAAATGAAAAGAGGCAGTGGTGTTTGATATATTTCGTCGTCTTGTAAATACAGTGAGGAAAATTGCAGTAACCGAGGCGAGCTGACTTGACGTTATCAAGTACTCTACTGTATGCAGAATTACCGGATTTGCGTCCTCCCGTCCGCGGGAGTTCACACTTCCGAGTTGAACTTGCGAAGTCCGAACTACTGAGGACACAAGTCCGAAATTTGCATACTTGGTATTGAGAAACGTGCACAGACCTACGTCACCAGACTATTTGCCTAATCTTCTTGGTACTTTAGACCGCGATGGAATCACAGACAGCAACAGGTCTGGGGAAAAAAAGTTCCTGGGACAAATTGTTCCAGGTAATTTCGGTGGAAAAGCGGCTATAGTCTGTCTCACTCAATTTTTTTTCTGCACTACGTAGGACCCAGAAAAGCAGGCAGACAAGGCAGATCCAGGGATTGGTAACAATACAAGCACCTGGTCACCGGCCTGAAAAGGGCGTGGGACCGCTCTAGCGTCATACTGGCGCTTCATGACTTTTTGTACAGCCGTTATGTAAACGCTCTCTAAAAACGACTAACATAATTCAGCACATTAGACTTAGGACCTCAATTTCCAATATGTTTTCTTTTAGGACTTTGAGTGGTCCTTGAATAGTATGCCCGAAAACAAGCTCAGCGGCACTGAACCCGAGTGACTCTTTCACGCACTGAAAATAACACCAATGGAGACACCTTCATCCCAATCTCTGCTTGTGTCTGCATAGTATTTCCTTAACATAGACTTAAGCATCTGGTGAAATAGTTCAAGTGCACCTTGACTCTCTGAATGATAGGCTCCGGATGAAAATCGGTGGGTGATGGAAAGTGATTTTAAGACCTGATTAAAAATCTTAGACCGAAAATTTGTCCCTTTGGTCAGTTTGTGCAACTTTCGGTAAGCCAAATGTAGAGAAAATTTTGACCAATGCCGTGATAATCACAGGAGCAGTCATTTTGTGAAGTGGAATTGCCTCAGGGAACCGGGTAGCAGTACACATTAGCGTTAACAGAAACTGATTCCCTGACTTTGTTTTAAGCAGCGGTCCGACACAATCGATAATAACATGTTCGAAGGGCTCTCCAATAACTGGAATGGGAGAGAGGGGAGCCGGAGGAATAACCTGATTTGATTTTCCCCATACACTGGCAAGTATAACAAGTCCAGCAAAATTCCACAACATCCCTCTTTAACCCAGGCCAAAAGAAATGGATTCCATTGTACAATTTTGTGATACCCAAATGACCTGACAACACATGATTGTGCGCCAGACACAGCACATGCTGACGATAAGCAGAAGGAATGACAATCTGGTACATGACATTCAAATCAGCATCACTTTCAGTATTAGAGCACCATTTGTGCATTAACAAGTCCTTCTCCACAAAATAAGCAACTTCTTTCTTGCTAACCTTGTCTGGAGAAACAACAGAGGCAAAACATTTGATTAAAGACACACGACACAACACGAACACGTAACGCATGGAAAAAATAAAATACAGGGAATGTTACACATTACTATTCTCTTTGTTCAGTGACTGTTTGTGTTTCACAGGTTTCTCCCTTTCACACATAATGGTGTTGATTCTTTGTATTTCTGCATCTGGATCTGCTCTTCTCCTCTGCTGTCTGATCTACTGCAGATCACATGATAAAGGTAATTCAGAAGGAATTAACTAGAGGTTTGTGACACAATAACAGTTGTAATAGTAGTAGTAGTCCATGATGTAAAACCACTGACAGTTGACACAATTCTCTTTCACTTTTTTGCATTAGAAAGTCACATAAATATTTTATATTAAGTTATTTCTTATTGCAAAGTGTTTCCATAAATCTAAATTTTAATAGTATTTTTTGCACACTTCGTGCAAACTAAAATGCAGCTTGCAAAATTAAGTTTTGAAATTTTCACTTTTTACTTTAAAATTAGAAATTAGATGTCTATTATTTTTCAGGTTTCCTTGTGCAACATTGTTGTAACCAGATTTTTTTGGGATCTTCAGTGGTTTTGCCCTGTTATGTTGACAAACACTTATTAAACCAAAGTCTGGTGGTGGAATGGAGAAGAGCAGACTCAGAGACTCTGGTTCATCTGTATCAAGATGGTGAGAGTCAACCAGAGTCCCAGCAGCAGGATTATCATGATAGAGCTCATTTCTTTACTGATCAGATTCAACATGGAAACTTCTCCCTCCGTCTGGACAATCTGAGAGCTGAAGATGAGGGATGATACACCTGTAAAGTTTACAGAAATCAGACATCCGTGTTTTCATCTGAAGCTAATTTGGAACTGTGGCTACAAGGTAAGTCAGCCTTGATACATAGTTTTTTTTAAACTTTTGCATAATATTAAGATTAAACATTACTAGATGTGCACATAAATGTCTAATGTTGTTTTGCACCACTGCTCAGGTTGTGCTTTTACTAGTTTAATTGCAGTTTGTTCAAATGTCTTCACACAACGTTAAGGCTGACACTAATATAGAAATATTCGTCATGTTGTCATTATCACTTGACCAACGGCATCAATTGTGTCACTTGAGTCATTCACAAATCCTAAGACTAAAAGTCTCATAAAAGTTTTGCAGAACATTATGTAATATGTTGTGTACATGGTGTTTACACCTAATATAAAATGGGACCAATATTGCATTGCATGTTATTTACCATTTAATTCAATTGTTATTTTGTATTTTCTCTCCAGACGCAGTCTTCCGTCTTCAGATGTTTCTCGTCTTCTGTCCAAATATGATCATGTTCCTTTCGTTTGTCCTCTGGGGTGTTTCTGAAGGTGAGTGTTCTAGTAGTGATTGTATGTTGGTGTATATACTGTATATCAAATGATTTACTAATACAACTGTAAATCTAATGACTGATATCTGCTTTTGTTTCAGGGTCTCTAAACGAGTCGGTCTCTTGCTGTGCTCTTTATTTTCTGAGGCCTCTTATGTTGCTCTGGGCGGCTCCATATGCTCATGAGTTCACAGGTTATGGTTAATTTATGATGAGTGTCCATTTATTACATTAAATATACTGTATGTACTTTGTCCAAACAAATAACCTGAATACATTAAGAAGTGTTCAGTGTTTTATTGCCATTTGTGCTGTATTGTGTTGGTGTTGTATGATATTGTGATTCATTATTTTGTACCTTTCTGTTTCTTACAGGCAAGACTAAAACATTTATTCACAATTACAGTTATGACACAGAATACATTGTTTTATCAACTGTTTTTTATTCAGGCAAACAAATCCAAATGTAAAGCAACAGCCATTATCATAAACACATGAAATGCACATTTAACAGTTGTATGTAGTTGTATATCCAAATACAGTAAATCTATAGTAATAAGAAATTCAATGTGCTATCAATTTATAGCAGATTCTGAATGTGTTCACTGGTTTAAAACAAAAAATTAAATTAAATATTTTTACTAAATATTGTTTTATTAACCTTAAATTACTTTTGTAGCTTTTTTGTGTTATTTTTCTAATGTGTATTTATATTTTGTTTGTTCTTCTGTTTAGTAATGGCTGCTTTTATGTTTTTCTCTTTTCCAGTTCTGTTTAAATCTGCCTGGGACAAAAGTTTAAATTACACCGGATTTGAAGGTGTCACGATAATATTCATCTTTGTGACTGTGCTTCTGCTAAACCTCATCTATATTATTTTATGCAAGTATTTCTAGTACCAGTGGCATGTATGTGTATGTGCATGTGAAAATGTTTTATCAGATTAACACAAAATATAAAAATCATAATATCTGATCTAATTTGATCAGTGGACAGATCTAGTATTTAAGTTGATTTACACAGTTTAAGAATTACAGAGATTTGTTTAGTTATGATTTAGTCTTTACTACAGTAACGTTTTAATGAATATACAGTGAATGATGATTAAATTGATGTCCCAAAGTATCAGTCACTCATGTGAATGTCACAAACAGTTCTGCAGTATATAATTTAGTTTCTTCGACAGTTTTAACCTATGCATTCATGACATTAATTCAAAAACATACCGAACGTTTTATTCCTTTAAATCATTGCTGTTTTTTCGTATGCAGTGTTGGCGAGATTCATCTGGAAATTAAGCCAACAGATTATTACTATTTTCAGGGTTCTGGCTAGAATAAGCTTTGATATTTTGCCTTCATTACAATTCCTCCTCCTGTTCTTCGCCTTTGGATCTGCCAGATCTGGTAAATTTACCTTTATGAACTATTTATGTTCATTTGTAAGTAATGGTGAAAGGAAACATTATTCCCTATTCAACAGTGTTAAAATCAAAGCGTTCATATTTCAGTAAGAAGTTAAAAAAAAAAAAAATTTCATAACATACCTTTCAAATGTTACATTATTTTTTTTAAATGCATTGCAAGTTAATTTGATTATCATAATAATGTAATGTACACTGATGTTATTATTTTTTTTATTAGTTAAAACAGTAACTTGTACAGTGAGACTGATGTCCGTGTATAATTTTCATTTAATCATGCGAATATGTTAAATGCGTCTGTTAGTATAAAGCTCAGTATCTGTATTAATCTTTTTCTTTTTCTCAGGATTTATAACTGTTGCAGTTTTACCAGTTTTTCTCACACTGACAAGATACGACTGGGATCTTACATGTGGGAAACAGATGCACTGTAAGTGTTTGAATTTTGATCTGATCCCTGATATAAACACATACAGAAATTATTATGTGATCATATTGTGATCAAAATAGAACTCATTAATGCTCGTGCCTCTGTTTCTTTTAGTCTGCATGAATCTCTTATCTTTAATGATTTTGACCATAGAGCTGAATGAGAGTAAAAATATTTTTAGACTTAAAGAAATGTGTGCAATTGTTTTAGACATCTGAAAGCTGTATATGTACTTGCTTGCAGCAGCAGCAATAATCTACAAATACAGCAATGACCAACAGCAGCAGCAATTCCGCCAAGACCAAATACATTAACATTGTCATATCCATCACCATGCTAAAATCTTCCGAGAGTTGTCATGATTGAAATAATGTTCAGTGTATGATCTAAATCTTAATTCACATTCACTCGGTCAGTGTCAAACTCAGATATGCACTTTTTTTTTTTTAACTAATATTAAACCTTTTTTTTTTTTTTTTTTTCAGGTTCACTTTTGTTCATGAGATCAGTTTGGTTAATTCTCATGTTACTGGTCAATGCTATTATGGTTTATTTCTACATCATAGCACTGGGAACTGAAAAAGGTACTATAATAAAATGCTTATTATATGCTTACTACAATAAGCATATTTTACATTTATGCTGTATGTTACTAAATATGGTAAAGGATTGTTTGTCAATTAATTAACAGATACATTAAAGAAAATTTTACTCCGATCTGATGTATTTGTTGATGTTCAGATCGTATTGGATGGGCCTGTATGATTGCGTTCCTGCAGTTACTCTGGGCATTAATAAACTTCACATGGTCATTTAAATGGGGTACAGTATTAATCATCTGCTCTGATCATCTTCATAATTGCATCACAATGACAAGCTATTATTCTTCAAAACTCATTTGTTTAGATTATTTATAAAAAGTTTCTTGATTAATTTCTATTGTGAAGATACTAGAGGATACATTTACTAGAAGAATGAAGGATTTTAATCAAAAGCTGTGAAGATCAAATTCATTTTTATAATTATAAATGTTGATATTAAACTGCATTTGATCTTACAGGTCTTCACCGTGTTGTTCCGGTGTATGTGTTTGGATCAGTTGGGGTTGTTGTACTGAACTCAGTTACACTGATGACTGAACTGATACTGAAAACAGGTGAGTGAACACTTGAACATCATACAGTGCCTGATTATATTACGCAATTTACATTAAGTCTATGGTAAATACATATTATAAGAAAATATATCAGGTAATAATTTACTGTGAGGCATGAATCAGCTTTAAGTTATTCTGGTCAAATTATTCTCATTTACATAATTTCTAGCAACAATACTGGAATAAAGCCTTATAAGAATCTGCTATAATTTGGAGGTAATATTTAAGTACAAGTGTCTATTGTAAATAAAATACTCTTGTTGATCCTCAGTTAATGGTGATGGAGCAGTTGGGGATCTGAGAGTTGTCGTCTTTTCCTCTGAAATCCTCTTTACTGTATTTCTGATGATTTTACTCGTATTTGAACCTTGTGAGTACAAACTGAACTTTAGTCAGTTGCATTGTCTACGTAAATTAATGATGTTTTTCATTTTTTTGTTTTTGTCTTAGTTAAATCCATGAGTCAGCTATTGTGCCATCTGATGTGTTTTGTCCATCTGTTCAGCCTCTAAATAACTTCCTCCACTTTCTTTCTTTGAACACACAGGGATCAAAATGTGTCTGCAATCATGTCAGGTAAGTGTCAATAATTAAATATGATTTAAATATGATACCGTACCATATTTAATGTAAATCATATTTAATAAACTGCAATATCAGGAGGCATTTCACTTCATATTAATGGTGCACTCAGTAATTTTATCGCCATGTTTCTCTGGCTGATATAACAGAAGTATTTATATTTTTTACTGACACACATTGTGAGCGCAACAAGTATTCGTCAGCTGTAATGAACTGCTTCCTCAAAACTAAGTCTGTAATAATAGAGGGATCTGAGATGAAGTATTGTGATTATATGATTGTGAAAATAGCTAAATTCTTATTGTGAATACAGGAGACAATAAGGTATTTTCGAACTCCAGCTGCTGGATCGCAGTATGGGAATTCTTGGGTTAGTATCAGAATTGTTATGTTTATTTAAAAATAAGTCAAACATATTCATAATAGTAAACTCTTAATAATAATAAAACAACAACAACATATGTTGTCTAGATCAGTGTTTCTCAGTCCTGCTTCTGGAGAATATCAGCACTGTTTGCGTTTGTCTCCTTTATTTCATACAAACCATTTTGAAATCTGTATGGGGAGGTCTTTCGCCCTCATGCAAAATAACTGATCGCACCTTTATTCTGAACTCAGAATGAAGCAGGATCTGATGAAACTCCAGCCAATGGATCAAAGCAGAACACAGCAGAATCACATGAAATGAAACTTCTCCTAAAGACTGAAGATCATGAGGCTGATAGGACAGAGGACAGTCTGCCGGATTCAGTGGAATCACAAACATGAACAGCAATGAGGGAGGAAAAAAAGACTCAAACTCTCGAGCATTGACGATGAGAAATTCAATGGTCTTGACTGTAATGCAGATGATTTTGTGCTGTTAGCTCTTTTTAAAAGTTATTTTATAAATAACTTGAATCATATGCCGGATGTTTATTTGTGATCATTTTAAATTGTGGTAACACTTATGCTGATTGATATATTTCTCACAGAACTACAGTAAAGTTCGGTTCATCTGCTGATCTAGAGCACAGATGTGGTTTCTTCAGTGTGTTGGTGGGTCAGAAAGCAGTTGAACAGTGTTCAGGCCAGTTCTGTATTCATGTAGTAATAGATCCATGTGATGATAAGTGCATTATCAATGGCTCAAGCCTCAGTTATAGCTCTAAATTGACGTTTTGGAATTAGCTAAAGAGGCTTGGAGGAATTACATATTTCATTTTGGTATAACTTTAAAAGTTTTAATATTATTGTTTCTAAGCTATACAATTATTGCAAGAAATGTCTTTCTGGCACATGTATTGAAATAAGACAAAAGCCAATATTGAATGTGCAGTTACTAAAGAATCAACTTTGTTACATACATATATATATATATATATATATATATATATATGTATGTTTTTACAAAAATCAAGTTTACTTAAATAGAACAAACAGAATGCAACATTGTGTCATTAAAATTAATGTATTTCTTAAACCCATGTATTCATTTTTGTATGTTAAATCATAACTGGTTTATCTTAGGTGTTGTTCTTAAAAACTGGTTTAAACATGCTGTCTTCATGCACCATATTGTTCTCTAAACCTAATGTTAAATGATCCAAAGAGATTATAATGTTCAGAAATTATGGACTTCTATTTATATTTGTTGCTGTAATTCCAGTTGTATCTGATGGTATGTATGTTGTTTTTTTTCTCTTTAAGCTGATTTGGATGACAAGGCACATCTTTAATTGTCCAATTTAAGTCTATGCAAACTGTTGCTCAAGAGCTTAAACATTTATCGGATCTAGGCTTAAGTACAAATGCTTGAAAAGAGTTTGTGCTTATGTATGAATTTCTTTACAGCATTTAATTGCACATATTCCTTCACAATTGTTACGCCTGCTGGTCAGAGTGACCATGATATCCACCAGAGGGCACTTCTCTATACTCTTTTGTTATTTCATCCTGAACTGCATGTCCCATTCACCATATTGGTTTTGTCTAGCCAGAAGAGAACTGGCCCCCAACTGAGCATGGTTTCAACCAAGGTTTTTTTTTTTTTTTTTTTTT